CCAGAAGATTAGTTTTACAACATTTTTTCCTGCATCCTGCATTTTAGGTATTCAGGCTTTTCTCATATTAGCCTAATAATAATAATAATAATAATAATAATAATAACTTCATTAATTAATAATAACCCCTTGAGGGAGGCGAGACTGAGAGTTAGTAACCGTCCAAGGCCATCAAAAAGATCAGATGTCAGTTCTTTAACCAGCCTTACCGAAATGGATCCCAAAGAGTTATTCATATTCACTCAATGCCAACAAAACAGCAACATACTGGACAAAACAAAGTACTGATCTCACCATAAAACCCCAATTGTATCCGGAAGATATTATAATTGGCAGTAAGCAACGTTATGCTACCTGATGGTAAAGATGAAACAGGTGAAAGAAAGAAAAAAAACCCTAAAGCTATCCGGAAAGAGCATGGAGATAAAGTTCAGATATGATGCTACAAAGCCTGTAAGGACAAAAACAAGACAGAAAGAAGACTGCTGAACTTTATTCTCTCCCCAGTGTGTGCCCTTTTAAATGAAGCTGAAGATATTGTCTGCTCCATGATATTTTTCAGGATCACATTGAAAGAGAAGAAAGGGATTCTTGGGAAAATAATGAATGCCAAAGGGTGTTCAGTACATGTGATAAGCAGAGGGAAAGTTCCAGTTCCTGTTCAGCCAGATGAACTATCTGCCTCATATGAATAAGGAAACACAGTGTGTACACAAACCCATCTGATTCCCAGATGCTTTAAACAAGCAGGAGGAAAGGTAGTGATTTGAATGTTTCTGCTTCATAGCTTTTTAAAGCCCCTCCTAGATTAATGTCTGCTGGTTGCTCTTTTTCTATGACATTTTCGCAGTCTTCGTCATGCATGTATCTTCAAATAAGCACGGAAGAGTTTTATTTAACATCATCTCTTTCTCCTTTGTGAGTAGCTGTGCACAGAATCTGGTGCTTCCCTGCCAATCCCCTCTGCAAGAGTCACCAACTACTTTCCTTTAAATATTGATGGTTATGTTGTTGAAGGCTTTCATGGTCAGAATCACAGGGTTGCTGTGAGTCTTCAAGGCTGTATGGCCATGTTCTGACATTTCACCTGTATATATGGCAGGCAACTTCTGAGGATTGAATGCTTCTGCAACATCATCCCAGAAAACTCACAGCAACCCACTGATAATTGTATTTCTCTGCCCAATCTTATCATGGATAGAAAACCCCCTATTAATGCTATATTCATGAAACCACTTGAGTCTGAATGTTGTTATTCTGGGCCTTTAAGTTCATTTTCATCCTATGGTGACCTGAGGGCATGGGGAAATGATTTGAGTGCTTAACTACAACTCTGGAGACCTGGATCGAAATCCTCTCTTGTTCATGGAAGCCCATTGGGCAAATCACAATTTCTTGGTCTCAAAGAAAGACCGTGGCAAACCTCTTCTGACCAAATCTTGCCAAGAAAATTCTGTGATAGGTTTGCCATAAGTCAAGGACTGGTGCTTTACAAAAGAAAATCCATTCAAACAATCTAACTTATGTGTTTTCTCCATGTTTTAGTCTGCTCTGCTTTGTCATCCATAATATGTGTGGGGAACGTGGTGTGATTTTAGTTAACATTTGGTTACCTAAAGTAGAACAGTAAAGGACAGTCCTTTGCCACACTTCAAAGTGCATTGTTTTCCAAACCAGTCATGTTAGTTCCAGAGTAGAACATCCCATAATAATAATAACAACAATAACAATAATAATAGATGACACGATATGAGGATTTAAAGATCGAACTGCAAAGACTCTGGCACAAGCCAGTAAAGGTGGTCCCAGTGGTGATCGGCACACTAGGTGCAGTGCCTAAAGACCTTGGCCTGCACTTAAACAGTCGGCGCCAACAAAATTACCATCTGCCAGGTGCAAAAGGCTACCTTACTGGGATCTGCACACATTATTTGCCAATACATCACACCGTCCTAGACACTTGGGAAGTGTCCAACATGTGATCCAATGCAACAGCCAGCAGAGTGATCTTGTTTGAGGTGGACTCATCTTGTTGTGTTTCAAATAATAATAATAATAATAATAATAGGTTGCTGTGAGTTTTCCAGGCTGTATGGCCATGTTCCAGAAGCATTCTCTCCTGACCTTTCACTCACATAGATGGGGGGCATCCTCAGAGGTCAGAATGTTTGTTGAAACTAGGCAAGGGAGGTTTACATATCTCTGAAGTGTCCAGAGTGGGAGAAAAAACTCTTGTCTGTGAATGCTGCAATTGATCACCTTGATTAGCATTGAATCAGGAAACAGCCAAGCCTTGCAACTTCAAGGCTTGGCTGCTGCCTGCCTGGGGGAATTCTTTGTTGGCCAGCTAATTACCCCCAACAAAGGATTCCCCCAGGCAGCAACCAGCCAGGCCTTGAAACTGCAAGGCTATTCAATGCTAATCAAGGCGATCAATTGCAGAGGGGAAAAGGAAGGGTCCTGAGGCTGTTAGGAATTATGGGAGCTGAAATACAAAACACCTGGAGGACCAAAGTCTGCCTATGCCTGTACTATACTATGTTGAAAGGTGGCAATAAAAGGCAAATGAGGACAAATAAAGATAAACTTCATAAAAGCCAGTTTTACAGTATTATAAAAACATACGGATTTCTTCTATTTGGGGTCTGGTTGCATGGGAGTTCCTCTTGTTTGAGACCTCTGTAGACAAGTTTTTGGGGAACTAAGAATTGCGTTGCTGTAGGTTTTTCGGGCTATATGGCCATGTTCTAGAAGCATTCTCTCCTGACGTTTCACCTGCATCTATGGCAAGCATCCTCAGAGGTTGTGAGGCCTGTTAGAACCTCTGCGGATGCTTGCCATAGATGCAGGCGAAACGTCAGGAGAAAATGCCTCTAGAACATGGCCATATAGGAAAAACCTACAACAACCCAGTGATTCCGGCCATGAAAGCCTTCGACAATACATATAATAATATATTGTCGAAGGCTTTCCTGGCCGGAATCACCGGGTTGTTGTGAGTTTTCCGGGCTGCCTGGCCATGTTCCAGAAGCATTCTCTCCTGATGTTTCGCCTGCATCTATGGCAGGCATCCTCACAGGTTGTGAAACGTCATGAGAGAAGGCTTCTGGAACATGGCCAGAGGGCCAGGAAAACTCACACAACCCAATCATAATTGTATTTAAATAAATTAGAACGAACCAGTCAATGACAAGAGCTGGGCGAGTTGGAGGAAAGTGAGAAAGACAACAGGAAGGAGTGGGAAGAAGTCTTGTCCAGGAGGAAGGCGAGAAGGGCTGCTCTCAGGTGCGGCTGCCGGAGAAGCCGGGAGGGAAGGCGGGGAAGGGGGGGGGGAGGCGTGTCCCTTCGCTTCTCTTCCCCGCCGCCCCCGTCCTCCTTTCGCCTTCCAGCCGCGGAGCCTAAAGCCAGAAGGGAAGGCAGCCTCGCCTCGTCTGGACGCCCCACTTGCCCCTTCCCTGGACTCTCCTGGAGCCCTGCCCGGCGCAGTTTGGGGAGCGCCTCTCCTCCCCTCTTCTCTCCCAAGAAACGCGCGTCTAAAGCGCAGGGGTTGGCTCCCCCCTGCGTTTGAGAGTCCCGGGTGGCTTCTCTTTCCTCCGAAAGGCTCCGATCTGGAACGGGACCCCGCCAAAAGCAGCCTCCCTCCCGCCTCCGGCTTGAATCTTTGTTAGGCGAACTCACCGCGCCCGAAGCTGGACTGAATAGAAAGAAGGGACGGAGGGGAAGGAGAGAAGACAGTCAGGAGTCAGAGAGCCGGCTCTTTTCCCCCTCCTCCCTTGCCCTCCTCCTCCTCCTCCTCCTCCTGGAATCGCCTGCCTTCGCCACACCATCCTTCATCCGTGTTTCTTTCCCCAGTCTCGCTACCGGACTACAACTCCCTCACCCACCCAGAAAGGGATCTCTCTCTCTCTCTCTCTCTCTCTGCCAGCCACGGATTGCCCAGAGACACCCAGAAGTTGAGACGCGGTGGTGGCATCTCCTTTTGAAGCCTGAATGCGCTTCTTCTTCGCTTGTGTGTTTCGACATGGCAGAAGAGGGTTGCCTTGGCTGGCCCTTGGGGTCTCCTCCAACTCTTTTCTCCTGGAAATATGCTTCCTCGGCGCCCTTCTCGGGAGGTTGTGCAGCAGGGTGTTGACAGCGCTTTGATGGGAAGTCCTGCCTGGCAGGGAGAGGGACTGGGTGGCCCTTGGGATCTCTCCCTTCCAAGGGTGTGATTCTCCTCTTCTCCTGGAATAGGCTGCCTTCCAGTGTGCCTTCCAGGGTCTCCTCTGGAGTTCTTTCAGTAGGGGCTGGATGCCCATCTGTCAGGAGGGCTTTGATTTCTGCATGGCAAGGGCTCGGACTGGATGGCCCTTGGGGTCTCCTCATCTCCTGGAATAGTGTGGTGGGACTGCCTCTGGAGTTATTTCAGCAGAGGCTCCTCTGCCAGGAGGGCTTTGAGTCCTGCATGGCAAGGGCTCCGACTTGATGGTTCTTGAGGTCTAACCCTGTGACTCGATGACTCTCCTCTTCTTCCAGGGGGGCTTTGAGCTGGGAGTAGATGATTCTTGAGGTCTCTTCCAACTCTATGACTCTCCACTTCTTCTGGGCGATGTCGAAGTCTCAGCAGAAGCTTCCGGGTGGGCTTTGAGTCCTGCGTGGCATTAGCAAGGGATGGGAGAGGATGGTCCGTGGGGTCTCTCCCAATTCTATGACTCTCCTCACCTGCTGGGCGTTGTCGGAGTCTCAGCAGAAGCTGCCGGAGAGGTTTTGATTCCTGCAAGGCAAGGGCTGGGACTGGATGGCCCTTGGGAGCTCTTCCAAGTGTGTAATTCTCCTCTTCTCCTGGAATAGCGCGTTGGGACCTCCTCTGGAGTTTTTTCGGCAGAGACTGGGCGTCTCTCTGCCAGGAGGGCTTTGATTCCTTGGATGGCCCTTGGGGTCTCTTCCAACTCCATGACTCTGTGACTCTTTTCTTCTCCTGGGCGATCCCGGAGTCTCTGCAGAAGCTTCTGGGAGGGCGTTGAGCCCCGCATGGCCAGGGCCGGGGGTGCCTGTCCTCGGGCGCCCCCCTTGGCGCTCTCCCGGGCCGAGTGGATGCGCGCCGCCTCGCGCGCCCTCCCCGCCGCGCCATGACTTTTGCCCGGTCCCCGCCGTCGGTGGTGGTGCTGAACGTGGGGGGCACGCGCTACTTCCTGTCCCGGGAGGTGCTGAAGGACTTCCCCTTGCGGCGGGTGAGCCGCCTCCACGGCTGCCTCTCGGAGCAGGAGGCGCTGGAGGTGTGCGACGACTACGACGGGGAGCGCAACGAGTTCTTCTTCGACCGCCACGCCGAGGCCTTCGGCTTCATCATGCTCTACGTGCGCCACGGGCGGCTCCGCTTCGCGCCCCACATGTGCGAGCTCTCCTTCTACAACGAGATGATCTACTGGGGCCTGGAGGGCGCCCACCTGGAGGACTGCTGCCAGCGCCGCCTCGACGACCGCATGTCCGACACCTACACCTTCTACTCCGCCGAGGAGGCCCTCCAGGCCGAGGGGTGGAACAGCAGCGGGAGCAGCAAAAGCAGCTGCCAGCACCAGCCCGCCCACCTCGGCGGGGAAAGCGAGGGCGGGCCCCCTCCCGCCGGCAGCAGCAGCACGGCCGAGAAGAAGTGGCTGGAGAGGATGAGGAGGACGTTTGAGGAGCCCACCTCCTCCTTGGCCGCCCAGGTCCTGGCCACCATCTCCATCCTCTTCGTGGTGGTCTCCATGGTCGTGCTGTGTGCCAGCACCATGCCCGAGTGGCGGGCGGCCGAGAACCGAAGCATGGAGGAGAACAGCAGGTACACAGCAGACTCACTCAGGGAGCCTTCAGGGTAGGAGGACGCCATTAATACTTTCACCCCAGTCCCGTCCAAAGTGTGTCCGGTCTCAGTCTGTGTCCACCACCACCACCACCACCGGTGCTCCTTTCTCCGTCCATCATCACCCTGGTTGCTCCCCATGCACTCCTTCCCCAGTAGGTGTGTGTATCCCACATTTCAGAGGCATCCCCAGTCCAAAACTTAACAAGGGAACCTGAGGGAGACAATGAGGAAACGAGGACTTCCTGAAAACATACAGGGCCCTTCCACACAGCCCTATATCCCAGGATATCAAGGCAGAAAATCCCACAATATCTGAGTGTGGACTCAGATAACCCAGGGCCCTTGGACACAGTCCTATATCCCAGAATATCAAGGCAGAAAATCCCCAATATTGTGGGATTTCATGCATTGATATTCTGGGTTATGGGACTGTGTGGAAGGGCTGTCAGTTGTATTATTTTTAAGAACCAGCAAGAACTGTTTAGATTCTAGTTTCATGGGCTAATTTGGGATGAGGAGGAAAAACCAACATGTGAGATCCCAGACTGTTAAGGATCAAACCTCCTAAAGACTAAGGGCCCTTCCACACAACCCTATATCCCAGAGTATCAAGACAGAAAATCCCACAATACCTGCTTTGAACTGGGTTATTTGAATCCACACTGCCATACACAGTATTCCAGTTCAAAGTAGATATTGTGGAATTTTCTGCCTTGATATTCTCGGATATAGGGCTGTGTGGAAGGGCCCTTAGTTATCTGAGTCCACACTCAGATAATATGGGATGTTCTGCCTTGATATTCTGGGATATAGGGCTGTGTGGAAAGACCCTCAAGTAATTCAAAGCCCGGGATAGCTCCTCTTCTTCACCCACCATTGGAAGCCCCTATAAGGCACACTTTCCTGAGTCTTAGTGCCCTTCCACATAGCCATATAACCCAGAATATCAAGGCAGATAATCAACAACATCTGCTTTGAACTGGGTTATCTGAGCCCACACTCTCATATAATACAGTTCAATATGGATATGAAAGGTAGCTGTAGTGGTGCAATGGGTTAAACCCTTGTGCCAGCTGAACTGCTGACCTGAAGGTCGGAGGTTTGAATCTCGAGACAGTGTGAGCTCCCACCTGTCAGCTTCAACTTTCCATGCGCGGACATGAGAGAAGCTTCCCACAGGATGGTAACACATCCAGATATCCCCTGGGCAATGTCTCTGCAGATGGCCTATTCTCTCATAGCAGAAGCGACTTGCAGTTTTTTAAATTGCTGCTGACACGATTTTTTAAAGCGTGGATTTTATACAGCTGTGTGGAAGGGGTCTTATCTGAATTTAGTGGGTTTCCTGGATCTGGATAGCTATAAAACTGCAACATACGGATCATTTTCACTTTTAGGTGGAGATCTTTAAAGTATGTCAAAGCTGTGAAAATTGTAAAACTTCTTTGAGCGATAGGAAGTGCATGCAAACGTATAGTTTAAGCCAGTCAGTGAACTCGGGTTTTATTAACTCGAGCAGTGGATTCTCTGAAGCAAGAAGCAGGAACAGGTCATCACTTTGCCCACCAGGTTTTCTCCTTCCCTGACTCCTCAAAAATATGAATAAGTATCTGTAAAGATATACTTGAGTTCAATTCCTTTCAAACTGTGTTCAGAGGAGCCTTCAGAGCTGATCAAGGGTATATCCAAAAGCAAAGTGAGCAGGCAGTTGAACCAATCAGACAAAGAGATAGTGTCTTTTGAGGGCAGTAGATGGCTTTTAGGGAGGACAGGACAGGCTGTGTCTCGTACATTGTGAGCCAAAGATCAACAGACAGGGAAGGGATTCTATGCAAACTGCTACTATGACCTATCATTTACCATCCGATGGAGGTTCCTTCCTCTGCATAATTTTATGGCTTCTGCTGAATATCCCTCAGATAAGTTTTAGAGATTATCCGTTATATCGCATGTAATAATAATAATAATAATAATAATAATAATAATAATATGGTGGTCCCAGTGGTGATAGGTACACTGGGTGCAGTGCCTAAAGACCTTGGCCTGCACTTAAACACAATCGGCGCTGACAAAATTACCATCTGCCAACTGCAAAAGGCCACCTTAATGGGATCTGCACGCATTATTCGCCGATACATCACACAGTCCTAGACACTTGGGAAGTGTCCAATGTGTGATCCAATACAACAGCCAGCAGAGTGTCTGCTGTGGACTCATCTTGTGGTGTTTCAAATAATAATAATAATAATAATAATAATAATAATAATAATAATCTTTTATTTATACCCTGCCACCATCTCCCATAGGGACTCGGGCAGCTTACAAATAGCACACAATGGTGCCATGCAACATACAACATATAAAATACAGTGTATCAACAGCCAGCAGAGTGATCTTTTCTGCTGTGGACTCATCTTGTTGTGTTTCAAATAATAATAATAATAATAATAATAATAATAATTATTATTATTATTATTATTTCATTCCTATATCCCCGAGGGGACTCAGGGCGGATTCCAACAACATAAACAAACACAATAGCCAAAAATAATTCCACACATGAAAACAATTTATAACATGAGATCTATAAATTAAATAAAACATAAACTATCAAAATTATATCTAATGTAAAACCATAACATAAAATATCTGCATTAATTTACAGAAGCCGATGAAGGTTCACTAAGATATGCAAGTTGATTATGTGGCCAGTTATGTTAATTGGACTAACATGATCTGACTAAACCCAAATACGAATATAGTTTTCAGTCAGAGGTCTAGTAGCATGTGTGGGTAAGCTGGGCATTTTCCAGGCTGCGTTGACAGCACATAGGAAGCATTGGTGAGAGCTGGTTTAGAGTGTACCCTCAGATTCTCTGAAAATGCAAGTAGGAGTGTGTGGCAGGAGAAAATAATTACCAGATAGGTGTTTGCTGGAAGACTTTCACATATATTATCAGGAAGATACATTTAAAAAATAATAATTGAGATATTATCTCTCCAGGAATCCGGGCATCCTAGGGCAACTGCCATGATCACAATGCTTGCTAGAGTCCATGTATGCTGAAATTTTCCACATTGGTCGACTGGATTTGTGAGATGCCATTTTCACTACCCACTGTGCCCTAGTGTCGAGTCTTCCACAATATTGTCACAAATGTAATATGACATCAAATGGAAATTTTCCACGCTCCCTCCTTTGCAGTAGTGCCCTAGAACTGTCTTTTAAAACCTGGGCTTATTTAGTTCTAACCCAGAAATCCACTCTGCAACTTCCAGTCACCACTTGCAGTTATAGCTTTTCCCAAACTGACTTCTTGGTCTGGAGTGATGTTAGTCAGGAGAAAATATGGGCAGGAAAGAATATGGCTGCATCATTGACCATTTCATTTAAAGGCACAGTACAGATTTCAGGACTGGAGTCAGGAGCCCCCGGTGGCGCAATGAGTTAAACCCTTGTGCCAGTAGGATTGAAGACTGGCAGGTCAGAGGTTCGAATCTGGGAAGAGCATGGATGAGCTCCCTCTGACAGCTCCAGCTCCCCATTGCAGGGACATGAGAGAAGCCTCCCACAAAGATGGTAAAACATCAAAACATCCGAGAGTCCCCTGGGCAATGTCCTTGCAGACAGCCAATTCTCTCACACCAGAAGCGTCTTGCAGTTTCTCAAGTTGTTCCTGACACGAAAGAAAAGGACTAGAGCCTTGCCAACAGAGCTTAACTCTTTGATTTTGATATATTTGGGCCATGTATCTGTGCCATTTCCTAAGCCAGGCTTTCATCAACTGATGACTTCTAGATGACTGTATTGCAATTACCACCTTATTAGTCCACATGAATAATGGTTAAGGATGAAAGCAGTTGTCAGTCCATATATCTGGAGGGTACCGGGTTTGGAAAGGCTGTTATAAGCAAACCTAGTGATCTTGAATTCGATGCTAGTTTTGCCCATGGAATGAGAAATATCAAATAGATAATATGCACCAGCTTCTGTTAATATAAGGATACACAACATTAGGAGTGACTTTTTTTCATTTTGAAATAAATATGAGTCATTGGAAATCTGATTATTTTTGCGTGACCAACAAAGGTATTATTTTAATTACAGTTATGTCTCCAATTAGGGAGAAAATAATACCAGATTTTGCTTGTTTCAAATTGTTGCATATTATACTAGGAAACTGCTACTACATATGGAGTATATACTGTATACTCTTTGAGAGACAGCATGCTGTAGTGCTTTGAGTATTGGAGACTAGAGTTCAGATTCCCATTTAGCCAAGGAAACCCACTGGATGGCCTTGGACAAGTCACATTCTCAGCCTCAAAGGAAGATACTGGCAACTCCCTCTGAAATAACCTTGCCAAGAAAACTCAGTGATAGTTCACCTCAGAGTTGCTACAAGTTGGAAACAACTTGAGGGCTCACACACATAGCCTTAAAAAAAAAGAAACCTCTTTTACTTTTGACATTTTGATCTTACTGTCTTTCAACATGGCTCTGGTTATCGTTCTTCTCTTGTTTCAGAATAAGAAGAAATAGGAGGCATGGGTTTGGGTGCAGCACTATACATTGGTACCTCTGAAGTGTGGTGGACTCCTTGCCAGTGTTTACGTTTTCCTTGCCATCTTGCCAATTTCCTTTGTTTCAACCCTGCCTGTGCTTGGAGACTTTGTGTGTCCCTGTATATAAGAAGTACTTGATCTTAAATAATTATTCTACATCAATCAATATTATGTGGTAATTATAAAATTGTGAAGGTAGTTACAATGGAAACTTTCTGAAGTACTGCTGCATCAAAGTAATTTTTCAACAGCCAGTTGCGTGTGATGAAAAAATTAAAAGGGGAGACATTATTTTTGATGTGGTCACACTCTGATTTGGCTTTTATCCACTTGGATAGGACACTGTTGAGAAAAGGTATGAAAAGTCTGCAAACATTTTCTTCTGCCTTGAATTTGCAGTCTTTAACTTCAAGTGTGGTGTAGTGGTTTGAACATTGGACCAT